GGCAGGTGCCGTACTTTCCTGTAATGTGGCTGTGGGCCTGCTGAGCTTCAGGTTCCTCATGGCAAAAATGGGGATGATCTCTTGGCTTGCAAGAGCCCATGAGACTCCAATGACATACGTAGCATAACTCAGATCAGATGTGAGGGCTGAGTATGCAGGCACTGAGTTAGCACAGCCTGGGTTTGAATCTTACCAGCTGTGACCTCAGGCCAGTCCCTCAAAGCCTCTGGGCCTCCACCTCGTCGCTGGCGTTCAGTGTGGATGAAGTGTGCTGGAGTACACGGAGGCTCAGGCGGGGGGCCTGGTGCTTTGTAAGCCTTTGGTCAATGATAGCTATTATTATCACTCCTCAGGAGAAGATGGTATATCCTCCTGTGACATATGCACACTTGGCATCTGCCAACTCGAGATAGAACCTCCCCTTCCCAGCCATCCTGCCTAGCCTGCTCTCCCACGCCAGGAATCTGGAAGCTAGAATAATGTTGGAGGCACCCTGTGGCTCCTCAGAGAATTCTTGGTACAGACCTTACTCTGTGAGTGTCTTTGGCACAAATCAGGTGAGACTTCTAAGGAACCTGTACTCTTAGCAGCTGGTTGAAGGTTCAGAACCTGGTTTGCAGCCTTTCCAGGCTCTTGGGGCTCCACTGGTGAGACTGGCATCTCTAAGGATCCTCAGTGCCTCTCTTCTTGAAGCTTTGACCTGGCAATAACATGGCCAAAGAAGAGGCTGGCAGGTACTTTTTTCTGGGCCCCATAGGACCATGACTTTGGTCTGGCCTACTCTGCTTTGGTTTCAGCTGTTGCTGAGAAGAGTGGAGATAAAGAGGCCACTTGCCTCCCCTGATGTCTCTCTTCCAGGAGCTAATTACAGACTCCCTTGGCCCTTGGTGCATGTTCTGTGCTTGATCCCCAAGCAGGTCTCAGATAAACTGTCCTCAGTGGCTGGGGCTTCAGCGCCACCACATGGCAGTGTTGCCTCTGGCAACACTGACATCAAAGCCTTGGTGAACGGGCCTCTCAAACCGCAGTGCAGCAGCCCTGGGGATCACCAGGAAAGACCTGTTCGTTCATTTCATTCATTTATTTAGTTACTCAACAAGTCTTACCGAGCACCTACTATGTGTTAAGTACTGTTCTATGTCCTGGGGGATATAGCAGTAAACATGACAGAGGCAAACTCCTACCATGGAGCTTAGAATCTAGTGGAAAAGAAAAACAATAAGCAAATCATCAGATAAAGATGGTTTCAATAGCATTCGGTGCTGGGAAGGAAAAAGTAGGATAATGGTCTGGGGAGTGATGGATGATAACTCAGGCAGCAGGGGAACGATAAGGAAGCTCTCTGTGGGATGGAGGCTTTGATGTGGGAAGGCTGGGAAACAGACAAAAAGGACAAGATCTGGGGAACAGTGTTCTGGGCACAGGAAACAACAAATGCAAAGCCCTCAGGGCCAGTGCAAGCTTGATTTAAGGTACGAAGTGGAGGCCTGTGTGGTCAGACCGTAGTGGGCAAGGGGTAGAGGGGGAGATGAGGTTGGCAGGGTAGTCACCCTGCTGGGCCTTTGGAAGCATCTGAATCTCAGAGAGGGCAATTGACCAGCCCAAGGATACACAGCACTGCTGACAGGACTGGGAGGGACCCCAAGTCTGCTTTCGGCTTCCGGTCCATGGAGCCTTCTGTGGTTTCCTGGTCATTCACACCTCTGTATCAGTGTTTCACTGAAGAGTTCCTAGTGGCTTTGGTTGTTTATTAGTTCTTTTTTGAAATAACATCTTTATTGAGATATAATTCACGCACTACACAATTCACCCATTTAAAGTATCCAGTGGTTTTTAGTGTATTCAGGGTTGTATAGATATCACCACAATCAGTTTTAGAAATTTTCATCACCCAGAAAGAAACCCCATATCCAGTAGCACTCACTCTGCATTTTCCTCCAACCCTCCCAGAACTAGACCACCAGTCGGCTCCTTTCTGTACCCATAGATTTGCCTGTTCTAGACATGTCATATAAATGGAATTCTACAGTGTTTGTGTTTTTTGTGGCTGATTTCTTTCATTAGCATAATGTTTTCAAAGTTCATCTGTATCGTACCATGTTTCAGTACTTCATTCACTTTTATTGCCAAGTAATATTCTGTTTTGTGGATATATACCACATTTTATTTCTCTGTTCATCACTTGATGGGCATTTGGGTGGTTTTGCTTTTTAGCGGTTGTGAATAGTGCTGTTGTGACCCACTCCCAAACAAACCAACCAATAAACCCATGCTGTCAAATCGATGTCAGCTCATAGCAAGCTTATAGGACAGAGTGGAACTGCCTCATAGGGTTTCCATCAGACTTTACAGAAGCAGACTGCCACTTTCTCATGTAGAGCAGCTGGCGAGTTCAAACCGCCAACGTTTTGGTTTGCAGCTGAGCGCTTAAACTGCAGCCAAACTACCGTAGTGGTTTAAAAAGAAGGTTTTGTTTTGTTTTTTGCCAGCGTGTAACATGTGCTATCTTTTTAGCTCTAAATCATCTCATTGGAACAGGTTTCTACATAGCCATGCATTTACAGTTGGGAAGTTTTCCCTCTAAGTCTGTCTTGTTTTCCTCTTGCTGTAGTTTCCATCCTCTGATTGTCTCTTAGCTCTAGTTAAGACACACCTGTGTGATGGGTTGAGGCAACTTCACAATCACTGTATTTTACCAAATCCAGACTACACATGGGCTAAAATAGCTCTCTGTGCTTCGTAAGTCAACGCAGATGAGTTTAACTGAATCTCCCAGAATAAAATCTCTCTCGCCTTTCAATCCAGGGGAGCCAGGAACATTCTGCTGGCCTCGGGTGGTTTATTTTTTCTCCCCTCCTCCCCAGCAGCCAGAGTTTGCAGCTCAGTTTATGCAGGACATGGATGCTGCCCAGTTACTATTTTTTGTGCACATCAGCACTTAATTTGGTGATGAGAATACCACCCATCACCCTAGTGCTTTTGTAGGTTTGTTTCCCAATTCCACCAGGCAGTACTCAGAGAAGTCTTCAGCCTGTGGGTATTAAATCAAACTGGGTGTGTCCCCCAACACACACACCTCTATGGAGGGACTCTGTTTGTAAATCTTAATGTCAAGGTCTAGTTGTACTCCACTTCAGCCAACTCCAAGGGCCAGTGACCTTGGACTTATTTGGATCACATCTTTGGCTGTTTCTGAGGAGAAACTTCTGTTTCTGTCCCTCTCCTACTCACCATTCATTTTGACATCTTCTCCACCTGACGTTTTTTGAGGCATTATTCTTTGACAAGTTGAAATCATACTGTACAATTTTGTCATCTCTTATTCATCCCCTCTCCTTTTTCTCTGTTTTCTTAACGTGGAGTCAAAAGTACCTCTCCATATTACAAAAACCTGTCAGAAACACTGAACAGCTGCTGGAGCATTCATCGGACAGACTGCACATTCCTTTTGGCTGTCCTCAGGGTGATATTTCTTCCTCTTTTGAATATGAAGAACTTTCAGAGCCGAGTCCGGTGGATAAGGTTGGGAGATGCAGCCAGTCAATTCCGTTTTTGGTCAAAATTGAGGTGTTGACTATAAAGCAACAGTTGGATCTTTTCCTCGAGGGAGGCCTGCCTGCTGGCCCTTGCCCAAGCGGAGTTGCAGAACCTTCTTGAGTAAAGGCAGTGGTGCTGGAATAAAGAGCTTCCTGAGGTGCCTGCTTTGAGGGCTCCTGGGCTGAGTGCACAAGGAGCCCTGGTGGGCAGTGGATGAAGGACTTGGTTGCTAACCAGAAATTTGGCAGTTCAAACCCACCAGCCACTCTGCAGGACAAAGGTGTGACAGTCTGCTTACGTGAAAATGTGTAGCCTCAGAAACTATAAGGTTATTCCGAGTCAGAATCGACTTGCTGGCCAATGGGTTTAGTGTTTTGGTTGGGCTGAGTGCACAGCCCAGGCAGCCTCCCATGTGCTATGAGGTAGCAGCAAAGTCTGAGTGGTCTCCATTTGAGCCCCATCATCTGGCACTCAGAACATTGTTGAATTACAGGTTTCATGTGTTTACTTTAAAGAAAAAAGGAAACTCTTTATTATTTTGTAGTACCTCTGCCCATCACTCATTTCCCCTTCATCCTGCTTTATTCTTTGTAGCCCTCCTCACTGCCTGACAGTAAATTATGGATCCACCGGTTTGCTCCTTGTCCACCTCTCTCCTGGAGATTTAAGCTCTGTGAGGGTGTTTGGGTCCCCACTCTGTGCCCCGGACTGAGAACAGCACCTAGTGTGTGGTGGACAGTCAGTGCTTTTGTTGGGTGCCATTGAGTCAGCCGGCTTTTGACTCACAGCAGCCCCATGGGACAAAGTAGAACCACCTCATAGGGTTTTCTAGGCTTTACAGGAACAGATCACCAGGTGTTTGTCCCATGGAGCCCAGGTAGGTTCAGACCTTGCAGTTAGCAGCCCAGTGCTTACCTGTTGCCCCAGCAGGACTCCTAGCCACTCAGTGATGTGTTAAATAAGTAAGGGGATGAATTGTTCTTTGACTATTTTAGGCATGAACTATCTATGCAATCTATAGGTCCGAGGCTGTGGACATTAACAGAGCTGTGTAAATATCCCAGGACAGAAGAAAACCTGGGCTTGATCTTACCCATTTCTCTCAGCGCCAGTTTAGAAACCAGCTTTGTGGTTATGGGCTGTGAGGTGGTACCACCATTGCCAATGGGAGGCCCCCTCTGGTATTTGGAAACTCAACTCTGCTTCTTCACTTGTGTGTCAGATAAGTCCATGTGCCCATCAGAGGTGTACAGAGCACCTGCTGTGTGTGCCACAAGGCCATCTGGTATGTATAGCACTGTGTAGGATGATGCCCCTGGAGCTGTGCAGTGCACATCCTGTTCAGCTGCACATGGCAACCTGACACAACAGGTGCTGGGAATAGAATGGTGGATCAAACCTGGTCCGAGCTCTTAAGAACTCACAGTCAGATGGAGGAGATGTATCACTAAGCAATCAAGGACGTCCTGGTGCTAAACACAGTGGTGGAGGGGAACCTGCGGGTCCGTGAGAGCCCACAGAAGCCCCCATCTCAGCCTGAGAGTGTCCAAGATGACAGCTGAGTGACCTTCTCTTCCCCTTTTCTTGAGTCTTTGGTCCCTCTCAGGCTCCGTGTCCGACCTCCGAGACTAAAGACTGAGGTGGAACAGACAGGAGCAAGGCCTGTGCCACCTCCAGCTGCCCTGCCCCCTGTGCCCCACTGTAATGCTTGATTCTTTTCTCTCTGCTGCCATGAAACAGGCATAAAGACAGAAGGTTAGTCTGCATTTTCCTTGCTCTTTTTGTGGTTAAACAATTACAGTTAAGACTTTGAGGACTAGGGACTGGTCTTGGGCATCCTGCTTGTCAGGGATCCACCTACTCAACACATGTGGGATGGGGTAACCAAGGCCCAAATGGAGAAGGCCCTCAGTTACCTGGGCCCCTCATCCTTATGAGTGACATCCCATTTGTCAGCTCTGGGCATTTTATTGGGGGCTTAGGGAGGCCATTTTGACTTGGTTCTTAACACTTTCTTGGGTCTTGTGAATTTCCAGGCAGCAAAGTGGTGGATGTGACAGAGGAAGGTCAGTGGCACGGGGGTTAGAATTGACTGCGCTTGTAGAATGACACCTAGAGGGACTTGCACTGTTGCTGCATGCCTGGGAGGGGACTTGGGTATCTGTGCATTTTCCCTCCCTCCCATTGTTCATGTACTGATTCATTCAGTGAACAGTAGGCACCTGTTGTGTGCCAGGTTTTGTCCTTTGTGCTTGGAGATGCAGTTTGATTCTTCAGCTCAGCCTCTGGTCGCCTGGATGACCTTGGCTAATCTTTCTTGTCTCTCCTCTGTCAAATGACCGTGACAGTGCATGCCAGGAAAGGTCATGTGTGGAAAGTGTCTGGCACATAGTAGATGGGCAACGGTTTGACTATTCAGATACTCTTCCTGTCTTGGGGATGCCCATCGCCCCCAAGGCAGGTCAAGACAGTGTGGGGTGATGGTGCCTGGTAGAGTCCCCGCAGGTGGGCTGCCGGGGCACAGAGGAGTGATGTCATCCTGTAGAATTTCAGTGGGAAAGGCTGCCACGGCTCCCTATGGTAACATAAAGGCACAGACTGGCAAACCCATGCCACCTGTAGTCTGTAACCAGCAGTGCATGGCTGAATCAACAGAGTCAACTCTGGCCACTTTACCAAAAAGGGCATTTGTTGGAACTAATTGGGGCTCATGATCATCAAAGGTAAAACTGCACAGCTAGGACTCAGGAAATGAGAACTCCAGATGGGGCTCCTTTAGCATGGATCAACTTGAACTCTCTTTGGCCCTTACTGGGCCACTCACCATCCAAAGTCCTGAGCCAGGGTCTCACTGGCTTACCTTAGGCAGGGCCCCCTGGCTGGGCAAAAGTGGGTACGCTGATTGGCAGGAGAGGAGAAGGCTGTGGCTTACGGGAGGGGCGCCTGGCACTGCCAGATTGGAAGAAGGGCCTCTCTGAAGCTCACCCCCCACAGAACAAGCATCTCTGAGGGTGTTTCCTGCCCCAGAGAAAGTCAAGGCCATCTTGTGCAGTGATCTGAGCCCAGACTGCCTGCAGCTGCATGGAATTCCATCTTGCCATCACCCCTCCTTCACGCATGATTTGGCCATTTTCTTTTAGCTTTGTTTTCATTGGAGGTAGAAGGACAAGTATTAGGGAACATTTAAAGCAGTAATTCTCAATCCTGGCTATGCCCCAGATTTATCTGTAGGTGTTTCAAAATACAAAGAAGCACCACAACCGTTTGTGTCCTTTACTGAGCACGCACTGCACCAAGCACCGTGTAAGGTCTTATTCCGTCTTCCACGGAGCTGGTGAGACAGGTGCTGTTGGCATCTCCAGGTGGCAGATAAGGAAGCTGAAGCACAGAGTTCCATAACTTACCCAGGACACACAGCTGGGGTGGAGGGACACCTCTCTGAGTCGCAGTTACTGAGTTGAGCAGCTACGCTGTCGTGTGCTCAGCATGGCAGCACCCAGCCTGCTCTGCCTTGTCCCTGTGGGAAGTGGGCTGGACCTGGGCATCTGGGCCTCCGGAAGTGTCCCAGCTGATGCAGTCTGCGGCCAGGATCAAGAATCACTGGTGCTTCGAGGACCCCAGCCCTCTGTCTGTATTTCCTGTGGCTGTCACCTGAGAGTGCCTGCCGTTTTTGCATTCTGCTTTTTTTCACGTTACCTCAGCAAATCCCAGGGTGTCCGAGTCCCCTGTTAGCAGCCTGTTTGTCCCCTTTTGTCACTTCTCTCCTGTGCCTTCTCCTACCCTTGTGGAGTCGGCTCTTCAGACTCCTCTCTGGGCTTCCCTTCTGGCACCAGAGAGCAAGGAAACCAGTATGTACAGTGAGCCTGCCACTGAGTGGAGATGAGTGAGACAATACCTTTAAGAACAGCAGCACTCGCACGGGAAGCACCTCTCCGTGAATGTTAGCCATTGTCCTTGCCGATGTTCTGATTACCATCACTGATGCTGGGTAGGGACTTTCTGGGACTGTGGTGTGGCCGGGATGTTGAAATACTTTCTTTTTCTTGGGGAAGCCCCTGCCCCAGTCCTTCTAGACCTCTCTGTGTTCTTAACCAAAGGGTTAACTCCTGCCGCAGGGGCCTCTGAGACTCTCCCTGTTGGTGCATGTCTTTGCCATGCTGGTTGCTGTTTGTTTTGAGTAGCCCCCGTTGGGATGTTTGGGGACCAGCGGGCGTGCACTTGCCCGCTGCGTCCATGCCCCGCGGGCTAGACCTGAGGCAGCAGAGACCTGCCGCTCAGCTGCACGTTACCCATCGGGCTGGCACTCAGCACCTGCCCAGGCCCCGCACCCTCTGCCAATGGGGTTCCCAAGCAGCTGCATGCAGTAGCATCCTTGCGCCAGATGTGGTCTCAGCAGAGCAGGTCTTACTTTCTGAGCTTCCTGGTGATCAGATTATCCACTCTCTCCCCCTGAAGTGAGAGGTTTTCCTTGTCTTGGGTTTTGGTGTCTGCTCTTAAAGCCCCATTACTCTCTGTCTCTCTCTCCTGCCAGGGTTAACAGGCAGCAGTGGTCCAGCGAAGGAGGCGAAGCTGGAGAATGGAATGCTTGTAACAGACACCGCGGGGAAGCAGCTGCAGAGGTGAGGCCAGTGGGCAGCCTCGTCCTGAGCTCTCCAGGCCCACATTGCTGTCCAAGGGCAGGGAGGAGGGTGCGGGAGCCAGCTGCTTGGCATGACCTTTCAAAAAAGACCTCCAGCTCCCCTAGGGTCTTGGAAAGAGCTGTGTTCTGCCTCCCAGCCCAAATCTTGCAGGACCTTGCTTTCTGGAGTGCAGTGGCCCGCAGGATGAGCCTGGTACCGTTCCTGCCAGGTGACACAGCTCACATGGGTCTCATAAGTTACCATCTGTCAGTACTTCTGACCCTCATTCCCTGCATGGTATGCACCTGTGGCTGGCTTGTTCCGAGAGGCCTGGAACTTTCAGGCACTAAAAGCTGCTATTTGATTGAAAGCAGTCACAGTAATAGCGAGTGTGTTTCGTGCACCATAGGGAACCTGGCATAGTGCCATGCTCTGGATGGTCTGTCAGATCCTGGAGATGGTTACTGTCATCATCCCATTTCACAGCTGAGCACACTGAGAGCTCTCCACAAATATTAGGTAAAGAGAAGCTGAGCTTGGAATTGAACCCAATCCAGTGTGTGGCCAGCACTCCTAAGTTTTGTGCTGGGATATTTTAAAACAGGTTCCTTTTGGTCTGCTCATTAGACACTTGGAGAAGCTACATCCTCTGGGTTACACCTCGGTTTCCTCATCTTCCAGAGAGGGTTTATATTAGTAGCAACCTCATGGGGTTGTAGTAAGGTTTACACAATGTAATGTATATAAAGCACTTAGGACAGTGGCCTGCCCAGAGTCAGTACGCAGCAGATACCAATACGAGCACCAGTTGCCAAGACAACTGTACTCATGGCAACTCCTGTGTATCAGAGTAGAACTGTGGTCCTGAGGACTTTCAGAGGTTTTCAGAAGTTGGTCGCCAGGCCTTTCTTCTGCAGTATCTCTGGGCGGACTTGAATTCCCAGCCTTTTGGTTGGCTGCTGAATGCTGTATCTGTTTGCACCACCCAGGGACACCTGCTCAGTAAACAGTGTCCAGTTATTATTATGAAGAATTTCTATTGTGATTTGGGTGAAAATTTACAGAGCAAATTCGTTTTCCATACAACAGTTCATACACATTTTGTTTCATGACATTGACTGCAGTTCCACATAGACTAATGGCTCTCTTCCCACTTTCTCCCTGTAGTTACCTCATCCGTGTGTCCTTCCCTCCCATGCACTCCTGCCCCCCGAACTGTCTCCCTTCTGTTCTCCCACGATTGTTCTCTCCAAGGAGTGTCACTACCTGATGTAAATGTTCACCCCATATGCCCGTCTGTCATTTGGCTGGAAGCCACAGGAGTGAGTTCAGTTCCAGACCTGAAAGCTAACTAGGCCCAGTTATTATTTTGGGACCACCTTATTTAGGGTGGGAACATTTCACAGAAATGGGGCCAGAAGGAAGTTGGCATGAGCAGCTCTGCTTATTAGGACATCACCCACTGTACCCTCCTGGATTCAGTTTGTTATCACATGGAGCAGGTGGAAATGTTTCCTCCTTTGTGTGCACTTGTCTAGATGGTAAACCAGGTGTCTCAGGTATAATGTGTGCACAGCACTTAGAACAATGCCTCTCTTGGAGTCAGAGGGGAACAGGGGTACTGCCAGGGTTCAGGCATAATAAAAAACTGTTAACTACATCACTAGAGCTCCTTGACAGTTGCCACCATCTAAGAATTGTAGTCAGATAGCCAAGAAAGGCAGTGTCTGTGTGTAGACCTGGAACTTAGGACCATGAAACCCTGTGAGTTTGCTGGAGTGGGACCATGGGGGGTCCAGCAGAAATATAAAGGTCATTGGGTGTATCACTTATCTTTAGCTGCCTAGCACATCACCACACACTTGACACCTTTTATGTCACAGTTCTGGGGGTCAGGAGTCCAGGCATGACAGCTGGGTCCTCTGGCTCAGGGTCTCTCTCAGGCTGCCATCAAGGTGTCGCCCAGGACTGGGGTCTCATCTAAAGGCCCAGCTGGGGAAGTGCCTATGCTCAAACTCATGGGTTGCGAGGGCTGTATTACTGAAGGCCTCATGTTTAACTGATTTTCAGCTGGAGACAGCCCTCAGTGCCTAGCTACCTGAGCTTTCCACCATGGAAACCTGCTTCATCAAAGCATGTCAGCCAAGAAGGCAGTGGAGGGGGCCGCCAGGGTAGTAGTCACATTCTGTCACCACTGCTGCATTCCATTGTTAGAAGCAAGCCACCTATCTCATCTATACTTGGGGAGGGGTTATACCAGGGCATACACACCAGGAGGCAGGATCAGTGGGAAGGATTCTAGCTGTATGGGGTGTGTGTACTGGAGGGGGGGAGTCTGGAGATGGCGGTCAGTGCTCCTGAATGCATTTATTCACAAAAATTCAACCTGTGGGAAATTGCAGTTAATGTCATGAGACAAAGTGTATATGAAATGCTGTATAGAAAATGAATTTGCTCTATAAACTTTCACCCAAATCACAATAAAAACTTAAAAAAAAAAATTCCACCTGTATTTACTGAGCCTGCTTTGCATCTCGCACTGTCCCCACTGTGGAGATCAGTGATGAGCCAAACAGGCAAAGTGGCTGGCCCCACACCCCCAAGAGACAGTGGATGGTAATGTGTTCTGATCCAGCACCGACCCTTCCTAGCCCTGGGACCTTGGATGGTTTTCCTTATGTACAAAATGAGTCCAGTAACAGAGCCTTTATCTGTAATGCCAGAACCTAAAAGCCTGTGAGAACTGAAGGTTTATAGCACATCTGTGTGGTAGAAAACTTACTTTTTATAAGTGTGTGGTCGGCCTTTTTAGTGGCAGAATGTAAGTTGACCTGAAGCCGAGTATGTTGTCCTTGTTAGTTGCTGCTGGCTTGATTCTAACTCGTGGCGACCCCACGTGTGCAGAGTAGAGCTACTCTATAAGATGTTCATGGCTGTCACCTTTTGGAAGCAGATCACAGGCTTACCTGCTGAGGCACTTCTGGGGTGGGTTCAAACCACCAGTCTTTTGTTTAGTCATCAAGTGCTTAACCAGCCTTCATTTTGCCCATTGAGTGGGGCCATTTGTGCATTTCACTGTGGAGATACCAGTGTATGTGATTCTGGAGGGTTTCCTCAGATCCCAGGGAGCTGGATAATAAGCAGCACAGTAACTGTATTAGTGTGTGAAATTGGCAGACCCATAACCCTGACACTCATCTGGCCCGAGAGTTTGGCGAGAGGATTGTGGCCCCGTGGTTGGGATCTTATGGAGTTGCTCTAAAAATTGAGGGAGATCAAGCACAGGGGAGCTTAGTGCCATGCGTGTTGCACAGTGAATACCTGATAACATTGCTTCAGGAAGGGAGGGGCGCTGAATGCAGTCAAGTGTATTCATTGAATAGATCGATCCTGGCTATGCATTAAGGCCCAAGTCACACATATTCACTGAGGTCCCAGTGACGAGGGGCCTTAGGACCTTGAAGCACTCTTTTTGGGGCCTCCTAGATTGGTGAGAACATCCATGCCCGGGAGAGGGCTGGCACGTTCCTGGGGACAGCGAAGGCCCCATGGCAGGAGCTCTCCCAGACTTCACCTGATGTGTTTCTATGCTTGTATCCTTTCTGGTTATAACAGATGGGTAAGTGTAGGTAATAGTCTGTGTGAGTGTGAGCCATTCTAGCAAATTCTTGAAACTGCTGGGGCAGTGAGAGCCAGCAGGGAGGCCAGTGTTTGCCTATTTTGCAGGGACTGGAAGGACAGTCCTAACTTGTGGAGACTTGACTCTGGGTGATCAGCTAAGGTCAGAGAAACAAAGTGCCATGTGGGTGGCTGGTGTCAGACTGATGGAGTAGGAAAGTGGGCTATGAGCTATCTCCACATTTTGGCCACTAGCCTTAACGTCAGCTATTATTCATGCCATATGTATGTGTGTGTCCATGTGCAGAGGGTGGCAGTTGCTTGGGACATCCCCTCTCTCAGAGGGCCCTGCCGTCCAGCTCAGACCACACGAGCAGCCCCAGGGCTCTGCAGATCACCCCAAGCTTTGGCCTGGTTGACACCAGTGTACCTCGCTTTCCTCAGACAGCTCAGCAGCTCCTCGTCATACAGCGGGGAGACACACAGACACCACAACAGCACCGCAGAGCTCCAGCAAGCCGGAGCAGAGAAGGAGGCCTGGAAGCTGATGGAGGCAGACAAGGCTCAAACTGGGCAGGTGAGGTCTGGCTCTCTAAGTTAGAGTAGTGGCTGGTGCACCCAAACACACACTCATGTATCCCTCACAACAAACTGTACAAGCACTATTTGCAGTGTGGAAACAAAGGCACAGAGTAGCTATCAACTTCCCTGAGGTTTTAGCTGCTGGCAGAGCTGGGTTTTGAACCCAGATAGGCAGGCCCCTGAGTTGGCCTTTGGTGTCTCTGCTGTACTGCCAGCTTATTTTTTGAGTAGCATGGGGACTCTCTTGGCTGTAGGTGACCCAAATGTCATAAAGCAGGACTCCTACGGTATGAGGCAATTTGAGAAATGTTCGGGTGTACATAAAGTGGCGTTAGGTTGTACACAGATACAGCGTTAAAGAACATTAAATTACATAGAAAAATACTTTCATTTGTCTTTTAGTCCTTAGATCACATTGGTGAGAAGGTCTCAGTTGGGTGCTAGATCCTCCTCAACATCTAATAGTTGTGAATCTTCCTTGTAACAAGGACATCAGGTTTCCAGCTCTTTTTTTATTGTATTTTTTTGAGATTCCCTATTTTGGGCAAGTGTGAATAAGTTCCCATTTAAGATGAAATCCAAAGTTTATTTTTACAAATAAATATTATGTGGGAAAAAAAAGTGGGGGAAAGGGGTAGATTTTTTAAAAAATAAGCAAATAAAGCAAAAACAAAAAGGATGGTACTGGGATAACTGGAGTTGGGGCACTGGTTCCTTGTGTCTACCCAGGTGCATCCAGTGCTTCCTGCCGCTTCCCTCCTCCTCTCATCACACCCTGCCGGTGGCCAGGCAGAAGTGACTGTGCTGTCTCTTGCTCCCTGAACCTCCAGGGAGCTAGAGAAATGACCCCAAATCAAGGACTTGGAAAGGAAGAGATTCTAGGTCTGTTTAAGCCTCCCTGTATCTCCACAACCACCATAGGAGATGGATCCTGCCTCTATCCCCATTTTGCATATGAGGAAAATTGAGGCGCACAGGGGCTTATGCCTTGCCAGAGCCGAAGCAAAAGTGGAACTGGGCTCGACACACCCAGTCATTTCTGATTCCCATTCACAGGTTCTTTACTGTAGTAAGGATGGGGATCCCCAGACTCTGCAGAGTAATTCCAGGGATGGCAGGCAGTTCTGCTTTCATGGTGAAAGCTGGATGTGAAATAAACCATGGTTGTAATTCTGATAACCACCTCCCCCCATGATTATTTCAATTTGAAGAACAAGCCTTGAAAAATTAAAAAGAGGCAGCCAGTAGACTCAGACAGTTTTTATTTTCTGAACTTCATCATGAAAAGCAAGCACACAAACAATGAAAGATCCCTGTAGTTTGTTTGAATCGAGCAAGCAGGTGTGGACGTGAGGTTGACCTGAACTGAGATGCTCCACCTCTTGTGTTGAGGGGACTCATACTTCAGGCAACTGGAATGTATTTATTTAGCCCCCGTCCTGGGCTCCACAGTGAATACATAAGTGAAACACTCCTCACCCACACTGCCTTGTGGAGCTGGGGCACCAGGCAGTGGGAGCCAGTTGATTTGGCATTGGGTGTTCAGGGGAAAAGGGGTGGCAGGTAGGCCCACTTGCAGGGTGGATGCCACATTTGGTCTTGGTTATTAGGCAACTTGTCACTCCTTCCCTTTTACTTGTAACTCTTGATGATGTTCCATTGTTCCTGGGGTTAAAGATTGAAATTCTGAACAGGGCCTCCAGGCCAGGTGGTCTGGCCACTATCTATTTCTCTAACCTCATCTGTTCTTTGATGTCCCAAAGGTGTCCTGTACTGTTAACAGCCCTACTGTGTTTATAATTATGCACTTATTTGGGTGATGATTTGATGAAAATCTGTCACCCCGCTTAACTAAAAGCTCCAGGAGGACAGAGAACTTGACTTTGTTGCTGTGTCCCCATGCCTGGTGCCTTGGAGGTGCCTGATAGCATTTGTGGAGTGACAAAAGGGAGGAGGTGCTGTAGTGTGAGCAGAGGTGTGGGTCTGGCGGCCACACATGTGCTGAAGAAGTTCTGACTATGTGGACATGGCTGGTGCATTTGGTAAAATGTCTTCTCTCTTGTTGATTTCCAGGTCAAGCTCTCTGTGTACTGGGATTACATGAAAGCTATTGGACTCTTCATTTCCTTTCTGAGCATCCTCCTCTTCTTGTGTAACCATGTTGCTTCCCTGGCTTCTAACTACTGGCTCAGTCTCTGGACTGATGATCCTGTCGTCAATGGGACCCAGGAACACACAAAACTCCGGCTGAGTATATATGGAGCCCTGGGCATTTCTCAAGGTGGGCTTCCCCCTTCCCACCATTCCTCACCCACTGATTCTGGCACCTATAGACGCTTCTGTGACTGAAGACACAATTGGTCCCCAGGTTCTCAGGGTTTGGTGCATCCCCAAATGAAGCCAAACCCAGATGAACAGTGCCAAGGACATAGGAAATGCTCACATAGTTGTAGAATGAAGTTTGTTTCATATTCTAGGAGGTGGGATGGAGGACAGCCATGTGCCCATTTTAAAGAGGAGAGTTGAGGACAAAGGTTATCCAGAACATTGGCAAGTTGGGAGGATCCCTTACCCCTTAAGACTGTGCCAAGGTGAAGGGGCTTCTGTAGCGTCTCATGTATGGACCCTTACTTATCGCCGAGGGAAGGAATTAATTTATACTGGGTGGTTCTCAGCCAGGGGGGATGCTGCTCACCAGTAGACCTTTGGCAATGGCTGGAGGTACTTTGGTTTTTACAACTAGAAACCAGGATGCCACCAAATATCCTGCAGTGGACACAGGGGCCACCACAACAGAATTATCCAAACCCAAATGTTAGTAGTGACAGATTGCGAAACCCTGGGCTGTACCTTCTTTGTGATCTCACAGAGGCCCCCAGGTGCAACAGCACTGGTAGTAATAGCTAACATTTATCAAGCACTTACTAGGTACCTGGCTATGTTCTAAACACTTTGATGGGTGTTCACCTACTTTATCCTTGTAGCATTCCCATGAGATAGGCGTAAACTGAAGGCCAGAGCAGTTAAGTAAGTTGCCCAAACATGGCAGCTTCCACTGAATGTGCAGTCTGGCTCCAGAGGTCATGCCTTTAAATGTTGTGCTACTCAGTATATTATCTGTGTGTTTATATGCTCATAATAACTCTGTAGCTGTGCATACATGTGTGTATTCGATGTCTGTGATATATATATATACATGTGTGCAGTGTAAATGCATGATGTTTTTGAGTACTTCCTGTCCATCAAACACATTGCCAAGTAGGCTCATTACATTCCTTAGTACCATGAATCAAGTACCATTGCCCTGTTTTACAGATGAGGAAAGCAAGGTTTAGAGAAGTCTGTGAATCTCAGTGGAAGCTCTCATGGTTGATAAGTGGTACACGACAAAAAATGCAACACTGCCATGGAGTCAGATCCGACTCCTAGTGACCCCTCCTTAGGTTTCTGAGGTGTTATCACTACAGAAGTAGGTTGCCCAACCTTCCTTCCCAGGAGTGGCTGGTGGGTTTGAACTGCCAGCCTTCTGGCTAGCAGTCAAATGCCTTAGACACTATGCCACCAGAGCTCCTTGCTAAGTGGTAGAGGCAGTATTTGGCAGTGTTGGCTCCAGAGCCTGTCATTTTTGTCCCAGCCACTTGGGTTTCCTGCTTGATTAGAAAGACCAAGATACAGCCTTCTCCATCCCTATGAAATCACTGCTCTGAAAAGAATGTTCCCTTTTGTGGATTATTTGGAAGAGCCAGATGTCTCATGGTATCCCAGAGGATGGCTTTGTACAAAACAGAACAACACACATGGTTTTCTTGAGATCCTCAGTTCCTGGAACCTTTTCCTCCCATAGGTTGGAGACTGAGGCCTCCAAATTGTAATTGCAGGAAGATGGAGAACAGAGAGGGTAGGATGTTTACCTAGGCTCACATAGTGTCTCTTCTAGAGTTGTACTATCAGTATGATAGTCATTAGCCACCTGTGCATATTTGAATTTAAATGAATTAAAATTAAATTTAAAATTCAGTTCCTTGGTTGCACTAGCCGCATTTTAAATGCTTCAAAGCTGTATGTGGCTAGTGGCTACTTTATTGGAAAGCTGAGCTCTAGAACATTTCCATCATTGTAGAAAGTTCTATTGGATAACACTGGTCCAGAGGAATACGGCATATGGATTAAAAACATGACCCTGGGGCTCTGCTTCTGATTGAGTGGCTGAGTACATGTGTGTGTGGTGTGGAGTACGTGTGGGACACAGTAATTCACATATCTGAGTTTGTTTTCTCATCTGTAAAATGGGGTAGTGCAGTGCTTGGCAGATACTAACTTCTCAATAAACAGTAATCACTATTATTATTACTACTACTGGATTGTTATTAGAAGTCGGGAGCCCATACCTGCTTCACCCACGTGGCCACACAGCCTCTCTGCAGTGTCTGTGCACAGCATGTCCTGTTGCCCTGTGTTGGAGTTTAATGCCTGGCGTGTTTGTAGGTATTGCTGTGTTTGGCTACTCCATGGCAGTGTCCATCGGGGGCATTTTTGCCTCCCGCCGCCTGCACCTGGATCTGCTGCATAACGTCCTCCGGTCGCCCATGAGCTTCTTTGAGCGGACGCCTAGTGGGAACCTGGTGAACCGCTTCTCCAAGGAGATGGACACAGTGGACTCAATGATCCCGCAGGTCATCAAGATGTTCATGGGCTCCCTGTTCAATGTCATCGGTGCCTGCATCATCATCCTGCTGGCCACGCCCATTGCTGCTGTCATCATCCCGCCCCTGGGCCTCATCTACTTCTTTGTCCAGGTAGGAGGTGGAGCCTGGTGTCCAGAATGAGCCCCGCTGTATGTTGCTCTCCCAAGTTGCTAAATGCTCATTTCATAGCATAGAGCTTATGAAGATTGCTTTGAGGAGATTTGGGTTGGTTTTTACCCATTTTTACTGCCTAAGTTGGTTATTTTTATCTTGTGATAACCATATATACTTTATCACTAATGATGGTTTACTTTTCTAGCTATAAGTTAGAAAAGGAAAAAAAAATACTGTTGTTGTTGTTGTTATGTGCCGTCGAGTCGGCCCCGACTCATAGCGACCCCTCCTTGGGTTTCCGAGGCAGTATCACTACGGAAGTAGGATTGCCCAACCTTCCTTCCGAGGAGTGGCTGGTGGATTTGAACCGCCGGCCTTCTGGTTAGCAGTCAAGTGCTTTAGCCACTATGCTACCAGAGCTCCTAACTGTAAGTTAGAAAAGGAAAAAAAAAATACTAGTTTGTTATAAAGAGACCTTTATTACTAAAATTTCTGTATGTATGAAATTCTTTAGTTCCTAAGCCCCCCGCAGATAATAGCATTAACAGTGGCTTAAACAAGACAGCGGTTTAGTTTTTCTGTCTTGTAACAGAAATTTAGAATTAGGCAGTGTCTTCATTATTTTTCTGCTCACCCATTCATGCCTCCAATGCATAAGTCAGCTTCATGGTCTAACATGGCTGCTGGAGTTGCAGCCATCATATGAGATAACAAAACTGAGGGAAGGGAACAGGGCAAGGGAGCATCTAATGGCTGAGTCAGCACTACTGCTTTGAATACACCTAATTGTCCAGAACTCATTATGTGACCACCTGTATTAGGAAAGGAGGCTTAGAAGGATAGCTTCTTTAGCTGTGTACATTGCCATCCCATCTAAATCAACTTTCTTTTGAGAAAGGAGGACATATTAGATAGGAAAATCATATCTCTCTTGTATCTCTTCCATAAAATCTGTTTCTACAATATGTTCTTTGAACACCTGTGGTTTCTTTGGTTATTGTGTCTCCATTTGATAGGTGGACATGTTGAGGCGTGGGGAAGTGAAGCATCTTGCCCAAGTGGCAGAGCTGGGAGTATAAATTCATGTATGTCTGATTCCAAAGCCTGTGCCGGTAACCACAGTGGTGCACCGCCCCTTTTTGCTCCTAAAAGATTAACTGCAGCAAAATTACAAGTGAAGAATGGTTGTTTAGTTGAGGGTGTTCTGACTGCAATGTGAAGTAAGAGTAAGAAAGCCCACAGAGCCCTTTACTGCAGACTGTACCATGGGCTTGTTTGTGGGGGTTCTGGAGGCCTTGATCCTCACAGGGCCAGCCCAGGACCCCATCACACTGGGGCCTAGTGATTGATGAGTGTGAACAAAGATGATATCATGGAGAATAGGGTCGTGCCCTGGGCCCTCACTGCGTTCTGTTTAAACCGGTGCCCCCTGTTGTGGAAAGTCATCCAGCTGCAGTTACTCAGAATGTCGCCAGTGTCCATGCACTGGCTGGGAATTTTCCTGAAGGACTCAGTTCAAAAGAAAGAAACAGATCAACAGCAATGTTAGAGCTCAAACATCTGCTGGTAGCAGAACATGGTATACCATGGAGCGATTCCATGGTGGAATGTTAGCTCTTCACAGAGATAATTAGGAAGATACTGTTGGAGTATCGACAGTTTTATTTTTAAACTACAAAGGGAATGAAGTTAGCAAAAGACCAAGTTATCTGTACACTGTCATTATAACTAAGACAAAATATGTAATGTGTGTGGGCAGGACTGGAAAGGGAGGCAGAAAAATGAAAACATTGCCTTTTTAAGGGTTAGGATTATGGGGGAATTATTTTCTTTCTTTTTTGATAGTTTTGAGCTAAATATATACATACACTGTAATCAACAATCTCACTCCTAGGTGTATATACAAAATAAATGAGAACATACATATATCCAGCACAGAGAATATGTGCAGCTTGATTTGTTTTAGCCCAAAGTAGATACAACTCAAATGTTGGTCAGTAAAGAGGACGATAAATTGTAACCCATTCGTGCAGTGTGGATGCATCAATGAGGTTTCATGTTGACTGAAAGAAGGCGTATTACGTGATTCCCTTTATGTGAAGGTCAAGAGCAGACAAAACTAATCTGTGGTTATAGAAGTCAGAATAGTGGCCACCCCTTGAGGGTGAGTGGTAGGTATTAACTGCAAGGAGTGAAGGGGGTTTTCTGGGATACTAGAAATATTCTAGATTTTGATCAGGCCTGGTGATCGGCTCCCAAAATCAGCCAATGAAAATCCTGTGAATCACAGCCAATCACCGCCAATCAGGAGGATGGTGCAGGACTGGGCAGCATTTCATTGTGGAGCATGGGGTTGCCATGAGTCAGGGACCAACTTGATGGCAGCTAACAACAGCAGCTGCCATGTCAAACCATGTAAAATAGTCATTTATTATTTTACCTACAATAAATAGCAATTTCTTATGGTTCAGTGTGGTATTACCAGACATTGTGCTTAGTGATGTGTGTGTGTGTTTTATATGTGCACTTAAGTACATGGTATGTTACATGTAAGAATATGTGATTCTTAATGCATCCTCAGGAAAAGTCCTTCAGAGCAGTGACGTTGTTCTCGTTGTACAGGTGAGAGGCGTGGAGGGAGGAAGTGCGTCGTCTGGGGGTATACTGTTGATCAGCGGCAGAGTTAGCACTTGAACTGAAGTCCGGTTGAACTGAAAACCTGTGCTTAAAACCAACTGCCTGGTGCATAAAACTATAGATGCTAAAGGCCTCAGAGAGGCAGTAGAGGTTAACACTTTGTGACCAGACAACCTGGGTTCAAATCCCAGCTCTGCCATTTCCTAGCTATGCAACCTGGTCAAAGTATAACCTCTTTGTGCCTTGGTTTCTGCATCACAATAGTAGTAAGAATCTCACAGAATTTTTATAAAGATTAAATGAACTGATTTATGTATGTAGAAACATATTAAATAATGCCTGGGTCCCAAACCAAACCAAACTCATTGTTGTCGAGTCGGATTCAAGTCATAGCAACCCCTCCTTGGGTTTCCGAGGCAGTATCACTAGGGAAGCAGATTCCCTAATCTTCCTTCCAAGAGGTAGCTGTTGGATTTGAACCGCCAGCCTTTTGGTTAGCTGTCAAATGCCTTAGGCACTACACCACCAGAGCTCCCTTTGCCTGGGACAGAGGGCACTAAATAAGAGTTATTACTATTTCTGTCATTGTTATTGTTGACACTGTGTCTGCAGTTCAAGCAGTGGCCACCAGATGAGCAGGGACACCTGTTAAGAGTAACTGTGCTCCAACATTTTGTCTCCTGGAAGTGCGTATTTTGTGCCGTTGAATCAATTCCAACTTTTAAAAGTCCTATGGTAGCATAGTGACTAAGGCACTTGACTGCTAACCAGAAGGCTGGTGGTTCAAACCCACCAGCCACTCCTCGGAAGGAAGATGGGTCAATCTACTTCCGTAGTGATACTGCCTCGAAAACCCAAGGGAGGGGTCGCTATGAGTCGGGTGTGACTTGATGGCACATAACAACAACAACATAGGACAGAATAGAACTGCCCCATAGGGTTTCCAAGGCTTATATCTTTACAGAAGCAGACTTCTGTAAGCTTTCTCCTGTGGATCAACTGGTGGGTTCGAACTGCTGAACTTTCAGTTACCAGCTAAGTGCTTAACCATCGCCCTAGCAGGGCTCCTTCCTCCTGGAGCTGCCATTGTAATATTGAAGGGGGCAGCTGTCAGTGTACCAATATCCAGACTCTATCAGCACAGCCGCACAGGAAGGTGGGCTGAGGGACTGTCACCAACTCCCCTGTCCATTCTCTCGCCCAGAGGTTCTATGTGGCCTCCTCCCGGCAGCTGAAGCGCCTGGAGTCAGTCAGCCGCTCCCCAGTGTACTCCCACTTCAATGAGACTCTGCTGGGGGTGAGCGTCATCCGTGCCTTTGAGGAACAGGAGCGCTTCATTCACCAGAGTGACCTGAAGGTGGACGAGAACCAGAAGGCCTACTACCCCAGCATCGTGGCCAATAGGTGAGTATACCGGGAAGGCCCCTGCGAAGGGTGAAGGAAAATGCCTTAGCACCTTGGTCCTGGACCTTAATTGTTCCCACATACTTTCCTCCCAGGAGAAAATGTGGGGAGTCACACTCAGTCCTCACAGAAAGGATGGTCAAACTTGGGGGCCTTCTGAGGGGAAGAGTTTAAGTGCAGGGATCAGAACTTCTCCTGGAGTCCACAAACGCTGCAAGCACTCACCTTGAACTGTTACTCCTGGTGTCAAGACCACCAGACCAGGCAGACTGTGCTCTTGCATACTTTCATACCACATTTCTCTGCTGGGTGTGCTCACGCCCCACCTATTGGATGTGCAGAGTGATTTACAAGTGTTAGGCTGAGTCATTTGTAAGTGGCACTGTGTGGCTCAAAAGTCAACCAGAAAATGGGGCAGAAGTTTGCTAATTATTTACAGAATGTAGAGAAATGTCTGATTTATGCCTACTGCGGCATGCTCCTTGCCCACTTACATCCTGATACACTGAGAGGTGGGGTGAGTGTTGGGTGACAGTGCCCTGGAAGTGGCCAGTGACAGCCCATCTGCCACTGTATAATCCTTGTTAAGGGCAATGGCCAGGATTTCCTGGAGACCTTGCCTTCTTTTTCAGAATTTTGAGAGAATGTGTCAAAACCCAGGTTTGTCTTAACACATGCACATTAACATCAGACATGTGGATTCCGAGGGCTATAGAAGGTTGAAGACGTTAGCTCCCCAGAGTGCTCCCCATTTGAAAATATGTAAATGACATTCCTAATGCTTATTATATGTTATATAAGTTCCCTTTAAGCAAGAAAAATATGTTTCTATTTTTAAAGATAAAATTGTGTGTGTGTGTGTGTTTGTGTGTATATAGTCCCTGGGTGTTGCAGATGGTTAACTGCTCAACTACTAGTTGAAACGTTGGCAGTTTGAACCCATCCCAAGCACCACGGAAGAAAGGCCTGGTGATCTGCTTCCAAAAGCTCACAGCCTTGGAAACTCCTTTTGGAGCAGTTCTCTGCACATGAGTTGGAATTACCTTGATGGCAACTAACACCAGTGATGTATGTGTCTGTGCGTGCATGTGTGTACATGTAAAAAAAGCTCTCTTCTTTTCCTTGATTCAAAACTACACCCTTCCCTGACCTCACACATTTTAATATATCTGAAATTAGGATGTGTCTATATCTGAGAATATTACAGATACATTTAAAGTGGTAGTTAATTTCTTAACCCCCCACACTACCAACCAAGATAAAGTTACTTGAAATCAGTGGCGTTTCTTTACAGTGGGAGACTTCTTAGTCCTTAGGAATTTCTAGTACAGCTTTCAGAGTAAAGTATAATATTTTAAAAGCTAAATTAGGACAAGGGTTTTAAAAAGGCAAGCTTCAGTTTCTTGGGAAGGTTGCTTCTGGAGAACTCTTTATCCCTGGGGTTGCCAGATGAGTGAGGAATGATGAAATAATGTCCCTTCAGCCCTCTTCCCTGCTCCCATGTTGTGGACTTGTATGCACAGGGCTTGGAAGGCCTTTCTCAGGAACTCTTGGGAAGCTATTTCAGTAGCAAAGACCCTAGAGCTGGATCTCAGAGCTGGACGCCAAGTCACTGCACAACTGACGTGTGTCTGTCTTTTTCCTGTGTGTCTCACACAGATGGCTGGCCGTGCGGCTGGAGTGTGTTGGCAACTTTATCGTGCTCTTTGCGGCCCTGTTTGCGGTGATCTCCCGGCACAGCCTCAGTGCTGGTTTGGTGGGCCTCTCTGTGTCTTACTCGTTGCAGGTAAGAGAATTCTCTGCTGCATTTTCTCATTCTCTAAATGGAAGACCAGTTTGCTGGTTCCCAGGCCTTCATTTTGGATGCCCAAGGGAGAGCAATAGAGGGGAGGGTCTGAGTAGAGTTTCAAGGCACAAGGCTAGGTCCTGGTGACCCTAACAAGAGAAGAATTTGACATGGACTCTGATTCCTTCTTCAGTCAAGGGAGCTCCTTGATGACCTGTGAGGATGTTTGTAACTGCAAGAGACGCTTTTTAAGACTATTCATTTCCCTCTAAGCACTATTTTACCTGCATCTCACAAACTTTGTGTTTTCATATTACCATCTAGTTCAAAATATTTTCTAATTTCTTTTGTGATTACTGGTGTGACCCCTGGATTATGTAGAAATGTGGTGTTTAGTTGTGAGATGCAATGTGGCAAATTTGGGTGGTGGTTATATTTATATGGGTGCTATTTTCTATATGAAGTAAGTCTTCATTCATAGTCAGTTAATTAGAATAAAAGTAACAAATGCACACTAGAAACTGCACGAGACGCTTCCTCTCACAGGTGACCACATACTTGAACTGGCTAGTACGGATGTCGTCTGAGATGGAAACCAACATAGTGGCCGTGGAGAGACTCAAGGAGTATTCAGAAACTGAGAAGGAGGTAAAGCAAAGCAAAGGCCCCTGGCCTGACCTTGATTTTCAATGTGAATGGCTTTACCCAAAAGAAACCTTTGAGCCATACCTTGTGTATCTTCTGCCTCCCAACAGGAATGTAAGTTGGATACCCCACTAGGTTGAAATCCATCTCCCACTTGTCCAGTCACTGTACAGCACCAATTAGAACCACCTAACGTTAAGGCGAGAAAATATTTTACAATTATCTCTTTTCCCGGGAGCTCTGGTAGCATAGTGGCTAAGGCACTTGACTGCTAACCAGAAGGCTGGCGGTTCAAACCCACCAGCCACTCCTCGGAAGGAAGATGGGGCAATCTACTCCCGTAGTGATACTGCCTCGGAAACCCAAGGATGGGTCGCTATGAGTCGGGTCCGACTTGACGGCACATAACAACAACAACAACAACATCTCTTTTCCCAAGGTATGGGATGCCCATATACAAAACAATGTTCTTAATTAAGTTTAAAATTTAAGTAATAAGTTGATAAAAGCACTAAAAGTAAGTAACGAGAGAATCTTTACAGAGATAGTACAAAAATCATGATGTGGTAAGAAATTGACCAAAATTTGGGAAACTCTGCAGTTATTTAAGCTAAGTCCTTGTTTTATGGATGGAAAAAAAAAGGTACAAGGAAAGGGGCAGTGGCTGATCCTGTGGGCTAGTCTAGAGCTAGGAGTGGAACCTAGGCCCCCTACTAGGGGCCATGTTCCCCTGGTAACTACCATGTTATCCCTAACAACTGCCTTATTTTGTCTTCAGACACCATCACTGATAGTAGTTGTAATAATGATGATAACAATAATGTTCCTTGAGACACCACCACTACCAATGATAATAATGGGTGCATACCGTGCCCTGTGGTGTGTGTATTAGGCCTTGTCCTGAATATTTTCTATAGAGCAATTAACCTTACGACTTAGTTGCTATGATTATCCATATTTTACAGGTAAGGAAACTAATAAGGTACAGAAAGTTAAGTTACTTGCCCAAGATCACATGACTGGTAAATGGTGCACACAGGATTAGAATCTGAGACCCTTTTTGCAGTTGTACCATACTGCCTCCCAAGAAAATGCCCCTTGGGAATGAGACCAAGGTCCTGGAAGGTCTGTCCTGAAGAATTCACAGAGGTGACCCATGCCTGCTCTGCTAGGGTGCACTTCACCGGAAAACATTATTCAGAATGGTACTAACAAATACTTCCGCGTGGAAGAACTTGATGCTAAGTGAAAGAAGCTAAATATAATGCCTCCTGTGGAAATAAGGGTGCATTACAACAGAAATTTTCCCACCCTAATCATTGAATTTGTTATTTTCCATAACAGCTTTATTGAGGTATAGTTCACATGCCAAATGATTCATCTGTTTAAAGTGAGCAAATGAATTTATTTTTTAAATATTTTCATTGTTTTTACTTTTTAAAATTGATTTTATTTTTACTGGTTACATTCCCCACAGTAGAACATCTTGCCTCCAGCTTCCTCCCTGTGCTTACCCTTTCCCTGTGTCCTTATTGCCTGTGCATTCCTGCCTCCCTGCCTTTCTTCCTATGCAAATGCTGCCCTTCCCATCCCCCAAGAGTGATTGTTCTAAGGAGTGCATCTTCCTGGTGTAGGTGTTCAGCTGTAGGCCTGTTTGGCTGAGAGTTAAGGAATGAGATAAATACCAGGCCCAAAGGGTGACTTGGGGCTATAGTCTCAGGGGTTTCACCAGTTTTTATCAGACCAGTAAGCCTGGTCTTTTTTATGATTTCGAGTTTTGTTCCACATTCTTTACCCATTTTATATAGGATCTCTAATTTTGATCCCTTTGTGAGTAGTTGGCTTTGGTAGCCAGGCATCATCTAGTTCTGGTCTCAGGTCACATAGCTTGAGGTTCTCATGGTCCATTAGTCCTTTGTACTAACTATTTCCATGCATCTTTGATTTTCTTCACTCCTCTTTGTTCCCTGGAGGAGAAGCCAATAATTGACACTTTGTTTTTATTCTTTAGGATAACAATGTATTTAAAAATTACAAAAGAAGAAATCACCTGTAGCCCTACCACTATATGTGTGTGTGTTTGTGCGTGTGCATGTGCATATATGTATATGGGGGGAGAGAGAGAGAGACCACATGCCCTGGTTGCTCAGTGGTTAAGTGCTTGGCTACTAACCAAAATGTTGGCAGTTCGAACCCATCAGCCACTGCAGTCTGTGTGGCAGTCTGCTTCCATAAATGTTTACAGCCTTGGAAACCTTATGGGGCAGTTCTCCTCTGTCCTGTAGGGTCACAGGGTCACTGTGATTCAGGATCTACTTGAAGGCAACAGGTTAGACTCTCTCTCTCTGTCTCTCTCTCTCTCTATATATATAGTTAGTTAGTTAGTTAGTGAGTTAGAAGGTTCTATCCACTTCTCTCCAGTACTATCTATGCTCTTATAGTAAGTCCCCTTCATTTGTATGCATAAATTATAAAAGCAAGATGTGCTTGTTGTGAAAAAAGAAAATAGCAAATTCTTCAGCGTGAAAGAACTTGATACTGACTGAAATAAGCTAAACACCAAAGAACACGGATTCTTTGCCTCCATATGTAGACTCCTTGTGTCCAGAATAGGAAAATCCGTAGACAGAAAGCAGATGGGTGGTTGCCAGGGGCTGGGGAGCAGGGGACATAGGAGTGACTGCTAGTGAGTGGTATTTCCTTTTGGAGTAATGAAACTGTCTTGGAGGTAGAGGTGAAAATTGCACAAGATAGGAATGAGGAATGTACTAAATGTCACTGATTAAACATTTTTAAATTGTTAATTTTATGTTATATGAATTTTGCCTCATAGGGGGAAAAAAGTATACAAGGAAGAGTGGAAGTTCTTACTGTCCCCTCCATTTGTCTCCTTCCCCCGGTGTAGCTTCTCAGGCCGGTGTTTCCTGCAGAACTTTCCTTGCACATATTCACACATACACATTCCCATGCACATTTGTGTGTGTGTTTCTTTTTCCTTTATTGTCAATGGGATCAGCCTGTTATTTCTGTTCTCTTAATTACTCTTCAGGACTGAGGCATTTCTCCATCTGCATATAGTAGATCTACCTCTTGGGATCATGTGAGGCACCAGTGAAATCACGCATCTAAGCACATAGCACAGCAACCTGACACATTCTAGGTGCTCAGCAAAAGCAGCATTGTTCTGTAGAACTTTTCAACAGACCTCAGTTTCCAGTCTGAAAGGTGGCCAGTATTTTCTTTATGTTTTCGTGCCTCTCTCTGGGCTTCTGGACTGTGTTTTTGGAGCTGCGTCCAGGCTCAGCACCAGTGTGTGCCTGGTCCCTGAAAGGATGTCAGTTCCCTGAGGCTGCACATCCAAGCCTGGCCCAGAACACATCCAGCCATCGGCCCCAGGAAATGCTGAGCTGAACTGAGAGGCTTTTTAGCAGCTGAGGTTGTGTGACCTTGGGCAAGTTACTACTCTTTTGGTTCTCTAGTGCCACTCTAACAGAAACTACTGCAAATGGGTGGCTTTAACAAACAGGGATTTTATTCTCTTACACTTTAAGAGTCTAGAAGTCCAAGTTCAAAGTGCTAGCTCTAGGGGCTGGATGAAGGCCCCTCAATCTTGGGCTTCAGCTCTGCCTCTTGCTCTGGCCCAAGGAAGCTGGAGGCTTCCCTTAACTGAGGCAGCTGCTGGCTGCTGAGGCTGACAAACTCAAGGCTGACAAGTACAATGGCACAGTCCCACCATTATCAAACAACATGGAAGGCCATTAGTTCAAGTCTGGAAACAGTCTGAAGATCGGCAGGGCCAACATGGCAGACCATTGAAATGAAGACTCAGCCACATACAGGGTCCAAGCATCCCTGAAAGCTCCAAGACCTTTCTCAACACTTCTCCGTATATACTGGAAGCAGACCACATCCCTAAGGCATTTACTTAGCTGCTCCAGTAGATTCCACTATGGAGTTGATTACCAGTCTCATCATAAGGAATAACTACATCCAGCTGCCCAGCCACTCAAAACCAGCCCCAGCCAAGTTGACACACAACTACCCCACCTACCTTCTCTGTGTTGTCCTTTTCTGCAGGTGTCTGCCCTCGTTATACAAAATTTGGCTTCCATAGGTTTTACTGTACTTACTGAGCACTGTATGTTCTGGGCCCTGAAGATACAGCCAGAAGCGAATAGTGAAAGAGCCAGTCCTCAGAAGGGATATTCTAGTGGGCATGGGTGACAGCTGAAACAAATGCAAACAGATTTAGAATGCTTGGAGGTGGTCAGTGCTCAGGGGAGGGGAAAGGAACACAGGGCCAGGAACCTGAGACCTGGAGGATGTGAGGAAGTAAGCTGGGTGGGTGTTTTGGGGAAGAACATTCCAGGCCAAGGAGACAGCAAGTGCAAAGGCCTGGAACAAGATGTGCTGCCATGTCTGAGGAGAAACCAGGTGGCCAGTGTGGTTGGGGCAGAGTGAGCAAGAGGGCAGAGGGGCGGGGGTCGTGGGGGCCAGCTCACAGCCTGTGGTATGAGAGTGGACTTTGATTTCCTTAGTCTCTGTTCCCCTACCATTCCTACTGTGATCGCAGGCTCCCTGGCAAATTGAGGAGACGGCTCCGCCCAGCACCTGGCCTCAGGTGGGCCGAGTGGAATTCCGGGACTATGGCCTGCGTTACCGAGAAGACCTGGACTTAGTGCTCAAGCACATCAATGTCACTATTGATGGGGGAGAGAAGGTGGGTGCCCGGTGTCCCCTGCCCCTTCACATTGGGCACCAGCTGGTGGCAGGCTGGTGAAAATGGTGGTGTTTTTTCTTCCTGTCAGTCGTGGGGTTGCGAGGCATCTTGTAGGGAGAGGAGCTCATAGAAAGAAAAGCTACTCAGAGAACAAGGTTGCAAACTGGAAGCCCAGTAGCCCAAAGAGATCCACATACATGTTTTGTTTTGCTTTGTTTTTAAAATCGAGTAAGTTAGTTTCAAATATTGAAAAATCTGGACAATTGTATATAAAAATTCAATTTCCTACTTCTCTTGAAGGAGCTCTGGTAGCATAGTGCCTAAGGCACTTGACTGCTAACCAGAAGGCTGGTGGCTCAAACCCACCAGACACTCCTTGGAAGGAAGATGGGGCAATCTACTTCCGTAGTGATGCTGCCTCGGAAACCCAAGGAGAGGTCACTATGAGTCGGGGCCGACTCGATGGCACATAACAACAACAACAACAACTTCTCTTGAGAAAATCTGAACATCTGTCAACAGTGGAGCCGGATTCCCATTCTGGCTCTTTTCAGATGAGGCCAATCCCTCCCTGCCCCTGTTCTTGTGCCTAGTTGGCCACTGTAGGCATTTGAATTTGCAGTCTCTGGAATAGAAAGCTGTCACTGTCATTGTTAGAGATGGCCCAAAGGAGGTAGGGAAATTGTCAGAATTTTGGAACCTACCCTTGGTCACAAGCTGTTCTTGGAACACAGCCTTGTCCTGAGACTCTTAGACCTTGCTTAGAAATCAGACCAAGTGCCTTCCTGGCCATTTGCCATGGGACATTGCTTCTTTCATCTCTGAACACATGGACTTATTGAACTGTCCCTACCACAACGCTCAGAAAGTTCCGTTCCTGTGCAATTTCTCTCAGTTGTAGCCTGAGGGAGAACAGAATGGGTAATGTTCTCACTAAGTCCTTATGGCCTATATTGTCATGAGAAGTTTTGCACACGTGCTGTACTGTGACTTCTCTGATGTAGGAAGCCCGCCTCTCAAGAGCCCAGACAAGAAGGGGAGAGTTGGACTGGGTAGCAGAAATGTCAATCATTGGCCATTAAATGGGGAAGCTAGTTCCCTAAAAACTACTTGGGTGGCACAGATGGTACTCAGCTACTAACCTAAAGATTGGTGGTTCAGATCTACCCAGGAGCAGGAGCACCTTGGAAGAAAGTCCTGGCAGTCTGTTTCCAAAAGGTCACAGTGATTGAAAACCTTACATAGCACAGTTCTCCTCTGAAACCCCTGGGGTCATCAAGAGTCAGAATTGACTTGATGGCAGCTGGTTAGTTCCCTCAAAGAAGGATAAGTGGAAACCAAATCATAATCATAACCCTTTTTGCTCACCTCTGCTGAGGTGGGATGAGGACCTGTAGGGGGATCTGCTTGGATCTTTGAAGTATCTCAGCAGTTCAGCTTGGGAACCTGACAATTATTGCTGTTGTACGCCCTCCAGTTGATTCTGTCCCTTAGAGGACACAGTAAAACTGTCCCTTAGGGTTTTCTAGGCTGTAATCTTTATGGGAGCAGATCACCAGGTTTTTCTCCCAAGGAGCAGCTGGAGGGTTTAAACTGCTGACCTGTTGGTTAGCAGTCAAGGTCTCTATCATTATGCTATGAGGGCTCCTTAATTTGATAATTACTTAATATCTTAAGTTGAAAATAACAGGGCATTATTGAAAATCCCTTCTGCCTAATGCTTGTCTCTGGAGGTCTCACTGGCTTATTAGAAAAGCTGATTAATTTCTCAGAGAGCCTGGAAAAGACAAGGGAGTTCTTAACCTTTGGCCAAAACACATCTCCAGAAAGTTGATGAGGGACAGGGCTATGACAAGAGTTGAGGTGACTGAACTGCTATGAGGGAGATAACTGAAATGATGGAACAGTGGAATGGGGGCAACCTCCAGATTCCAACATCCCACCTTACCCTCAGTGCTTCTGGTCCCACAGATTGGTATCGTGGGGCGAACGGGAGCTGGGAAGTCATCCCTGACCCTGGGCTTGTTTCGGATCAACGAGTCTGCCGAGGGACAGATCATTATTGATGGCATCAACATTGCCCAGATTGGCCTGCACAGTCTCCGCTTCAAGATCACCATCATCCCCCAGGTAGGTCCAAGGGGTTGCTGGGGCAGGACCAGAAGCAAATCAATAATGGTGCTTCTTTTTAGGACAAACACATGAATTTGTCCCGACTTTTATTTTCAGAAGGAGTTTTGGTGGGGCAGTGGCTAAAGCATTCGGCTGTTAACCAAAAGGTTGGCATTTTGAACCTACTGGCCACTCTGCCAGAGAAAGATGAGGCAGTCTGCTTCCATAAAGATTTACATCTTTGGAAGGCCTCTGGTGCAGTTCTGCTCCATTTTATAGGGTCACTATGAGTCAAAATTGACTCGATGGCAGTGGGTTATTGGGAAGGGGGCTTTAGTCATTATTTTTGTTGACATCGCACTATGTTTCTTCCCCATGGAATCTTCTCTGGGCACGTTGTGGGACTTAGTCAGGTGTTAGTCTTCATCTGGACTCCTAGGTGGCGCCGACAGTTAAGTGCTTGACTAGTAACCAGAAGGTTGGCAACTTGAGTCCAGCAACAGTACTTGGAAAGTAGGTGGCGATCTATTCCTGAAAAATCAGCCATTGAAAATCCTATGAACACAATTCTACTCTGACACCCATGTGGTTGCCATGAGTTGGAATGGATGCAACAGCAACTGGCCTAAATCATCTTCTATGAGTCTTCACTTTTGCAATCTAGTAAGCCATTTTCCTGAACATCTAACAGAATCAAATAAAACCCTGACTTCTCTCTGTGCTGGCTCTCACATTCAAGGATGATAATCTCTAACCTTGTAAGAACTAGGCAAAAATGAGACTTTTCTGGCAGACAATATTCCTATATATGTATTTGTATGTGGTATAAAAATGGCCACATGCAATATAAAGCTTAACAGGAGGCAGAGTTAGGATAACTTCTCAGCCATATCTAAGGACCTTGAAGGGAGTAAGTCGCTGGACATTAGTTGCAGGGTCATCAAGCTCAATTGGTACAGCATGGTATGCAAAAATACTATTCTACATCTTACTTCAGTGAGTAGCAACTGGGGTCTTAAAATGCAACTATTGGTCTCTCCTTGTGCAGAGCAAAGAAGAATGTAGAAAATAAAAGACATAATGAACCATGAGAACCTCAGCCTGTATGACCCTGAGACCAGAAGACCTAGATGGTACCCAGGTACCCATGCCAACCACTTGGAAAGAGATCAAAATTAGAGATCCTGGGTATGAGGGAGAAAATGTGGATTAAAAGTCAAAATCAGGACTTCCAGTAAGATGGTGGAATAGGCAGACAAGCTACACCAACCCTCTTCAACAAAGAAAAGAGAAACTGCTTGACAGAGATAACAGAAGATAATCCTGGAGCCGTGAGCTTTGAAAGGAAATGCACAGGAGTGGATGAGGCACCAACTAGTGAAAGAACCTGAATGAAAACAGTGAGTACAGAGATGGACAGAGCTGTGGACTGTCAGCTATTCTGATGGCACTGACAGCCTGAATATTTGCAAGTGGTGTTTGGACCTGAGAATTGACTGAAGATCAGCCTTGTTTGCCAAGGAATGCAGGGATGACTGCACTGATGGCCAATAACTAGGAAGGGAAACAGCAAAGGGAGACAACCTGAGCTATGAACTTTTGGCTATCTGGAGGGCTCAGCCATTTTGATTGTTTACAGGTGGTGACCATCTTGGATATTTAAAGTGATTGAGGGTACAGTCATTTTGAATGTTGGCAAGAGGTGGCCATTTTGGATACTTAAAATATAGCATTCTCATTTGGATTCCAGGGACTTAAGAATAGGCTCCACTTGCCAAGGACAGCAGGGACATACGGGAGGCTGACAATGGGAAAGGAGACAGGTCTTGAGTGTATAAGTGCTGCCATCTAGCAAATAGAGGTACCCAATACCCTGCTGACTTAGATAACATCAGAGAAAACGAAAATCTTGAGCAGATCACTCCAACATACAGTCGCCAATTAAATATAAGCACAAAAATGTCACAATGTCTCAGAGACAACACAGCATCACAGTCCACACAAAGAAGCAATATAAAGCAGGAGAAACGGGACCAGGATCCCGACCCAGAACACATCCATGAGGAAGAAGCAGCACTGGAACTCCCTGATAAGGAATTCAAAAGAATTACATTTACCTTCATCGGATTGAGAGACAGATCAAGGAAAACACTTACAAAATTGAGGAAAACACAGAGAACATAGGAAAACACTAGAACAATTTTGAAAGGCAATACAAGAACAAATGACAAAATAAATGAAAAATTAGAAATGATACAAAATCTATAGACAGAAATCCAGAAGATTAATACTGAATTTTCAGAAATAGATAACATATTGAATGGGCGAAGAAGAAGAATTGAATCAGTGGAAGACAGAATTAGTGAGACTGAAGACAAATACCTCAATACTTCTTTGGAAAGGGATCAATCAGGAAAACAATCAAAACAAAATTAAGAAAGCCTAAGGTTCCTGTGGGATACCACAGAAAGGAATAACCTACATGTAATCGGAATTCCAGAACAGAAAGAGACAAATAAAACCACAGAGAAAATTGTTGAAGATTTGTTGGGAGAGAATTTCCCTGGTATGATGAAAGATGAGAATATATCCATTCAGGAAGTCTAACAAACCCCAAAAAGGATAGACCCCAAAAGAAAATCACCAAGACACATCATCATCAAACTCACCAAAACCAAAGTCCTTAAAGCAGCATGGGAGAAACAAAGTTACCTACAAGGGGCAACTCATAAGACTAAGCTCATTTCTCAGCAGAAACCATGCAGGCAAGAAGACAATGGGATGGTATATATAAAACCCTAGAAGAAAAAAATTTTCAACTGAGAATTATATTCCCAGCAAAACTGTCCCTCAAATATGATGGTGAAATTTGGACTTTACAGATAAGCAGAAATTAAGGGAATTTGTTAAAAACCACACCAACTTTACAAGAGATGCTAAAGGGAGACCTTTAGACAGAGAATCAACAATAGCAAACAACAACTGACCATTAACACACATGATGACATAACCCAGAAACCAACCCAGTTATGGAAGTATCCAAAGTAAATAAGCCTGCAAGATTGTAAACAGGGAACCAGAGATATCAATTGACAAATGGAGACAACTACAAACCAAAAAGAGGGGGAAAATAATACAGAACTTCTGAATGGCAGTCAAAACCACTGCAAGAAAGACTGTTCGAAACTTGGGAAGAAAATTACAAACCACAAGGTAACCTCAAAGAAAAATGATAAATGTTCACATCAAAATAAAAAGATCACAAGCACAAATAATTTAGCAAATACTAAAACATTGGCAACGAAGGAAGTGATAACACAATTCATAAATAAAACAAGCTCATCACAGAAAATTATATGGAACAAAGAAATCAGCAACGCCATGAAAAAGCACATAACAAAATGATAGCAACAAATTTGCACTTGTCAATAATTCTGCTGAATATCAATGGATTAAATGCAGCACTCAAGAGACAGAGAGTTGCAGATTGGATAAGAAAACATAACCCACCAATATGTTGTCTATAAGAGAGACACCTTAGAGAGACAGACAAAAATAGACTAAAAATCAAAGGTTGGAAAAAAATACATCAAGCAAATGGCAACCATAAAAGAGAGGGAGTGGCAATATTAATTTCTGATGAAATTGACTTTAAGACAAAAACCACCTTAAGAGAGGAGGAAGGACAATATATAATGATTAAAGCGAGTCAATTGAACAGGAGGACATAACAATAATAAATATCTATGCACCCAATGAAAGAACTCCAAAGTACATAAACCAGACTCTAACCTAACTGAAAAGACAAGTAAATGACTCCATAGTTGTAGTTGTTGTTGTTGTTGTTATGTGCCGTCGAGTCAGCCCTGACTCATAGCGACCCCTCCTTGGGTTTCTGAGGCAGTATCACTACGGAAGTAGGATTGCCCAACCTTCCTTCCGAGGAGTGGCTGGTGGGTTTGAACCACCAGCCTTCTGGTGTAGTAGGAGACTTTAATATACCACTTTCAGTTACAGATAGAACAACTTTAATATACCACTCTTAATTAAAGATGCAGAAAAACTAGCAATACAATCCACCACTTGACATGATAGACATCTACAGAGTGTTTCACTCAACAACAGCACAACTACATTCTTTTCCAGTGCACATGGAACATTCTCCATGATAAACCGTATGTTAGGCCACAAAGGAAGCCTCGGTAAATTTTAAAATCATTGAAATACTGCAGTGCATCTTCTCAGATCACAATGCAGTAAAATTAAAAATCAACAATAGGAAGATCAACGGAAAAAGAGCAAACATGTGGGAACTGAACCACACCCTCTTTAAGAATGACTGGATAATAGAAGAAATAAAAAATGAAATTAAAAAATTCCTAGAATCAAACAAGAATGAAAACACAACATACCAAAATCTTTGAGACAGAGCAAAAGCAGTAATCAGAGGGCAATTTATAGCATTAAATGCACACATCTAAAAAGAAGACAGAGCCAAAATCAACACTTTAACCACCATCTCCAGCACTTAGAAAAAGAGCAGGAAAAAAAAAAAAAAAGCCTAGAGTCACTAGAAGATAAGAAATAATACAGATTAGAGCACAAATCAATGAAACAGAAAATAGAAAGTAGAAAAAATTAGCAAAACTCGAAGTTGGTTCTTTGAAAAGATTGATAAAATTGACAAGCCGTTGGCAAATTTAATAAGGAAAAGAGGGAGAGAATACAAATAAATGAATTGGGTGACACCACAATAGAACCAACAGAAATTAAAAGGATAACATCAGGATACTGTGAAGAACTATACTCCAACAAATTAGAAAATCTAGAAGAATTGGACAGAGTTCTAGAAACATACTATTTACTTAAACTAACAGAGACCGAGGTAGAAAATTTAAACAGATCCATAACAAAAGTAGAAAAATTTGAACAGGTCATAAAAAAATTACCACCAAAAAAAAAAAGCCCTGGTCCATTAGGTTTCATTGGCAAATTCTACCAAACATTCAGAAGAGAAT